GACAAAGCTGGGACTCCAAGCACACATCTCCTAAGAGAATCCCAAGCTATTGAGTGACAAGAGTCTAGGGGAGCTGTTTCCATTTACATACGGCAGGGGAGGGAAGATTTTGAAGGTCTCAGTCTCTCGAAAGAAAGTGATGGTGCGATTTTCTCCGACTATTTTCACTGCTTTCAACTCTGATGGTGCCAGTGATATAACACAAGCTGTGCAATCGGCAGCCCCTGCTTCGCAGTCATGGTTCACAGTAAGCGGACCTGGGGACAGGCATGCCAATGTTGAGCTAGTCGCCGGCCTGTCAGCTCAGTGGGGAGGGCCTCTGCCCAGCCCCTCCTCCCCCACCTCTGCCCCGGGGTGATGACCAGCCTATCTTTTTCCCTACATCTTGAGCCCGCCACTCCCTTGGGGGTTCTCTGAGATGCTCTGACATCCAGGAATTCACCTTGCCTGATGTAAGTCTGTTTTTCTTGGAAGATTCTAGACACAGGACTGAAAACCCGGTTTCCATGGTACCCAACTGTTTCTCTGAGGCCTGGAGGGAAAGAGTGCTTTTTTCAAGTTCACTCCTGTCTGTTAACGTTTGGCTCAGCTGTGGAATGTGCGGGAATCTCAGGGAGCAGCCAAGGGTAGCTTTGGATGAACCACATCTGGATCAGAGAGCGGGTCCCCGGACCAGCCCGTGCTCAGCATACCTGGGCCCAGGTATCGGTCAGCACACCTGTGTGTGGGCTCTGGGAAGTCACGGTGCCTGACCCCACACACAACAACAGAGCTCAGAGAGAAGAGCAGCTCACCTGGCACTCATTCTCAAACCCCAACTGGAAAAAGGCTGGGTGTTTCCAGAGGCTGCAACAGCAGATCACTAGAAGGCAACACATCCCAAGGACCAAGTGCCTCAGGACGCCACCTTGCCCAGGACAGCAGTGGTTTGCTGAGGCTGTTTCAAGAGGCTCTCTGTCCTGGGGTGCTTCCCCTCCTTTCAGGAGATTTCATGGAGCTGCTAAAAGGAGCCTGACTGACCACACTCCGACTTCACCACCTTGGCAGGCAGACGACTTGGGCCGGGGCTAGAACATGAGTACCACCTAGTGGTGACTGCAGGAAACGGGGTGCGGTTTCTTGTTTTAGACAAAGGGGCCCGAATAATTCCAAGTTTTCTTCTATACTGATAATATTGTGGGAGCCCTGGTGGCGTAGTGGTTAAGAGCTCAGCTGCTAATCAAAAGGCTGGCAGTTCAAATCCACCAGCACCTCCTTGGGGCAGTTCTGCTCTGTCCTGTTGGGTTGCTATGAGTTGGAATTGACCCAATGGCACCAAGTTTGGTTTTTGGTTTAAGAGGTGACAATGAGCTGCGCTACTGCCTCCAAATTCCACCACCACATACTCGGAGGCAGCTCATCTCCCAATCACTCGCTTTCTCACGATGAACAAGCCTGTCTCCATTTAGATTTTGTTAGAGGCCTTATTTCTAGTCCCTGTCATCACTTCCCTTGTTCTTTTCTGAAACCTGTCACTTCCCTGCACAATCCTGTCAAAGTGGAGGGATACAAGCCAAACTGTGTTTGTGAAGCGAGTAAGTCAGGCATGAAAGGACGAACACTGTGTGATCTCACTTACATGAAATATCTAAAATAGGCAAGTGCATAGAGATCGGAGTTTATTAGTGGCTACTGGGGCGGGTGGGCGAGTGGTGGGTGGGGGAGCACTACAAGTCAGTCTTAGAAGAAAAACAACGAGAATACTCCCTAGAAGTGAAGATGCCAAGACTTCAGCTTGCTTGCTTTGGACATGTCATCAGGAAATATCAGTTCCTAGAGAAGGACATCATGTTTGGTCAAGTAGAGGGTCAGTGAAGATGAGGGGCACCCCCAATGAGAAGGATTGACACAGTAGCCATAGCAAATGCACTCAGACATACCAACTCTCGTGAAGATGGTGCAGGACCGGACCAGGGTTTGTCCTGTTATGCGTAAGGTCGTATGACAGAGGGCTTGACTTGACAGCGACTAACACCAACAAAGTGCTGAAGGGTTCTGTTAAGGGTGATGATGAACAGTTTGAAATGGATAATGGTCATGGTAGCACAATGTGTAATCGATGTCACTAACCTGTACACGTGAAATGATTAAAGTAGCAAACTTTTTATATCTACATATAGACATACATTTTATTGTGGTGAGATTATATATATACTGATTGCTGTCGAGTCAATTCCAACTCAGAGCGACCCTATAGGGCAGAGTAGAACTGCCCCATAGGGCTTCCAGGGAGTGCCTGGTGGATTCTAACTGCTGACCTTTTGGTTAGCAGCTGAGCTCTTAACCACTATGCCACCAGGGCTCTCTCTCTCTCTCTCTCTCTATATATATATATATATATGTATATATATATATATATATATTTTTCTAATAAAATTAAAAAACAAACTGTTTGCTCACCAACCACCGCATATCTGAGCCCCCTGGCCATGTGGAAGCCCCCTCCCACGAAGCCCTGTGTTCTGAGTGGTCAGCAGTAGGGACCGCCCTGTGCCAGGCAGAGAGAAGAAAGGGAAGACTCCATCTGTTATTTGGATATTTCCAGGTCTCTACAGTGTGTTAGTCCTTGTAGTGTGATCATCTGCGTTTCTGTGTCCCAGTCCGCCTCTGTGAACCTCGTCCGTGCCCCCACCTCCCTGGCCATCACCAGCCTCTTGAGTTTGGGTTCTCGGTGCTTTGACCTTAATTGTTTATCTTGTCCAGTCTCATCCTGGTTTGCCCATTCTTTTTCTGGTTTCTTGTGCTCCCTGTAAATTCTGTTCTCAGTTTTGGGTCCTTTGCAATCTCCTTAAGCTCATCCTCAATTTCCCTTTTTTCCATTGATATGTTCACTGGAATAATCAATAGTTAAAACTGTATTGGCTCCAGAGCTGATTCCATGAGCACACAAACTGGATATTTTCTCCCAGGGTAAACTGACTTCACGTGTCCCCCTTGCAGGGGCTGTGCCCCACCTGTCAGCAGGGCCACACAGAATAAAAGCTTCTTAAAAGCAGCTTTAAGGAGCCCTGGTGGCGCAATGGATAAGCACTCGGCTGCTAACCAAAAGGCTGGAGATTCCAACCCACCCAGCAGCTCTGCAGGAAAAAGACTTGGCAATCTGCTTTCATAAAGATTACAGTTAAGAAAAACCTATGGGGCAGAAGCTACACAATGGCACCCAACAGCAGCAATGAAAGCTGCTTTAATATTATGGATTATTGCCTGCCTACTCTGATTGGAGGAAATTAAATTGGCTTCTCTAATAAACTCTACACTATCTTGTGTTCTCTCAAGTGGCTAGGAATTGATTGTTCCAGCCCACTACCAAAGACTAATATTGAATTAATTTCAATTACTAGCAAATGTTTTCCATCTTAAATAATTTGATCTGTTCAGTGACTTCTGGACAAGTTTTTTAAAGCTAGTGATCATACAAAAGCAGCTGGGAGTTCCTTGCAGGGAGTGGATTCCACACCACCCAACCTGGACTCTGTGATTGCTTCTTCTATTTATTAATTTTTAATTCTCTTTCCCTTCTTCTGGTCTGACATTTTCATCCAAGTGTCACCTTGTGGACTCTGATAACAAAGACAAAAGTAAAAAATATGAGGACACCAAGGTCTCCTTCAAAGGCTTATTAGAAGAACAAGGCATAAGGAAGCACGGTTTCTTTCCTCTCGTCCTCTCCCTTGGACCTTCAGGATAACTGGGGAGCGTTGCTCGTGGGCACCTGGTGAGCCAGGCCGTTCTCTTGTCTGAGGCTCTTGGTCCACCTCTACACAGCTGGTGCCATGCTGCTCACTGGGGACTGAGGCGATGCCCATGGTGTTAGCGAAGTCCATCTCTCCACACGTTCTAACAACGCTTTACATCCTTAGAGTCTACAGAGGGCCACTGCCTCCCAAGGGAAGCTGCTCACAAAGATGGGCAAAGCAGCCATGTTTCATGAGTGTAGAAAGAAAGCGCTGTGAACCATACCCTCCTCTTCCTGCTGGAATAAAACATAGGTGTTCCCACTGGGTTTGAGCAGCACGCCATCTGGACAGGTAAAGGGTGTCATGAAAAGAGCAGTAAGCTGGGAGCTGGCGCCTGACTCTAGAACTAACTCTGTATGCATCCAAGGCTTTGGCTACATTTCCCCAAAGTGAGAAATGATTTTAGAAGGTGTATGGCCTGGGGGTTAAGTAAGTGAAATCCTGTTGTAAGCTAGTTATTCCTTCTGTCTTTGTTTTCCATCCTAATTGATGGGGAGAAAACCTCAGTCTGGTGCTTGTGTGTCTTTCGTCAGCTCTGACTGGTACTAATCTCCTCCTTGAACAAGTGGCCAGGTCTGTGGCTCAGGCCTGGAGAAGCCACAGTGTGCAGCCAGAATTCTCAAACTGTTTGCTTATGTTGCATTTGTTCTCCGGAGTCCCCTTCTGTGCATGACAGTTTCTGCTGCTTTTCTACTTCTGGTTGTGATGTAACGTTTCCTCTGAAAATAAATTATGTTGAGGAATCCAAAAATAGGTCAATTGAAGGAAAACTTCTGAGCACATCAGAGTTCAAGTGCTTGTATGAGAAGTGCACATAGTGCACGGAGCTGTGCAGAATCGCCCAGGCGGTACACACGTGACTGTGTGCGGAAGTGCCACAGCGCTCCTACATCCCCCCCGGCATCTGAGACCTGCAACGCATCGTACTTCACAAGGCAGGCTGGTGGCACTTCCCTGTCCCTCCACTGTTGGGTGGAAATTGGCGAAGGATGGAATTACCTGTTGCTTCTTCCCTTTGCAATAGTCCCACCACTCTGTACCAAGACCTCCTCCCACAGTCACTAGTCAAAGACTAAGCAAGTACAGAGGGGAGTTGACCTACAGATGCCTTTATTCCAGCAACATGGCTGGACAGCTTGTCATCTTAAAGCATGTGTGTTTGTGAGTGTGTGTGCATGTGTGTGTCTATGTGTATGTCTAATCTATCCTTTTTTTTTCCCACAGTTCATTTATGATGAAAAAGTTTCCTGGTAAGTACCTGTTTTCTCCTTTCTTCTAATTTCCCCTTGTTTTGTTGAGAGCCGAATATATTGAAGACCCAAGTCAGAGTTTAAGAGAGAAATGGAAAATTCATGAGGGTTTGGAACAGCTAGAACTTCTCGAGAACCTCTGTCCACCTCAACACGGAAATGAGATTAGCTTTCAGCATAGAGACCTCTTCTCTTGGGTGAGGATGGTGGGGGCAGGTGTTCCCTGTGGGATCCTAATATCCAGGTGTCTTTCATCCAAGTTAGACATCATGACTGAGCTGTGCCTTTCTACAGTCTGCCACTTGCTAGGCCGTTATTAAAATTTGACTAACATTTTCAAATTGTACCCAAACCACATCTCCATATTCCAAATCCCAGGTATATTTGAGGAAGCCAGAGGTGCTTCAGTAACCCTTAACCCATTAAAGTTCAGTCTGGCATTAAAGAAGCTTTTAGAGCTCTGAAAAATTAGTGATTTTTTTTGACAGATCATTTTTCCCAAGCTAAATACATGAGAAGACATTTGCATTTGGGCCAACTGTCCAAACCTGCGTTTTTGAGATGGGTTCTGAGTGAGCAAGCATGTTAGAAATGGGAAGAGAAATGGAGTGTGTGGTGTGATCTCTTCGCTTTGTTTCAAGTACCTGATCTTTAAGGTAGAGTAATATGAAAGCACATCCCAGGGATCAGTGTGGCACTGAAGGTGGACAGCTTGCCTGGTGTTGTTAAAGGCTGAGAATGAGCTGGAGGAAGCAGAGACTCTACAGGCTTCCCTTTTAGCACAATGAGTGCTCACTCTGTATTAGGGTGGCCTGAGGAGACCAGTACCACCAGTTGCCATAGAGTCAGTGCAGACAACCCCATGTGTGTCAGAGTAGAACTGTGCTCCATAAGATTTTCAGTGGCTGGTTTTTCAGAAGAAGATTGCCAGGCCTTTCTTCTGAGGCACCATTGGGTGGACTCGAACCTCCAACCTTTCAGTTAGCAGCCAAATGTGATCACCGTTTGCACCACCCAGGGCCTCCTCTGTGATTTTCGGAATTTTGGGGGCGGGGAAAATCTATCACATTGCTGTAAGTGTGTGTTATTCCAGGGTACTAAGAACGTTTGCCAACTAGCTCTCTCTTCTGTCCAAGAGGGGAGATGAGGAGGCAGCAAGGAGAATTTGTTTTAATATGCATAATCTCCATAATGACTCATAAAAATAGAAAGGAAGTATATTCTGAGTAACAGTTATCCACCGGCTGAAAGGGATTGACGTGCCCAGAACACGTAGGTCGGAGGTAAAGGAGACACTCCTTGTGGCATCATCCTGGACTTGGTCACCAAACAGCATAAGGAGACTCCCGAAGCACTTTCACTCAAATTGATAGCACAATTAGCCCCGCCGCTGCTCTGCTGAGCAAATCATGGAGCTGAAGTGTGGCCAAGTGTTAATACTCTTTGCTAATGATACTGCTAGAAAGATAAATAAATTAGGGTCCCAGTTGATCTCAGAAATTTTTCTGCTGCTTTTGTGCAGAGAAACTCTAAGAAAGAACACCCAGGAGTGGTTTGCTGTCAGTCTTGGAGGGAGCCCTCTTTTCTACCAGCTCCCTGGCATTGCCGGATGAAAAGCCTTCATGATAAGCCTGTTTCAATCCTTACCTTCAACAGAACGTGGAAGTTATCTAACAATATCATTAATATCACATTAAAGTAAAATTATGCTGAATATAATTCAAAAACAGTTGCAGCAGTACATCAACAGGGAACTGCCAGAAATTCAAGCCGGAATCAGAAGAGGACGTGGAACGAGGGATATCATCACTGATGTCAAATGGATCCTGGCTGAAAGCAGAGAATACCAGAAAGATGTTTTCCTGTGTTTTATGGACTGTGCAAAGGCATTCGACTGTGTGGATCATGACAAATTTTGGATAACATTGTGAAGAATGGGAATTCCAGAACACTTCATTGTGCTCGTGAGGAACCTCTCAACAGACCAAGAGGCGGTCGTTTGAACAGAACAAGGGGTTACTGCCTGGCTTAATATCAGGAAAAGTGTGCATCAGGGTTGTATTTGTTCACCATACCTATTCAATCTGTATGCTGAGAGCAGAGTCCGAGAAGCTGGACTATATGAAGAGGAACGAGGCATCAGGATTGGAGGAAGACTCATTAACAACCTGTGATATGCAGATGACACAACCTTGCTTGCTGAAAGTGAAGAGGATTTGAAGCGCTTACTGGTGAAGATCAAAGACTACAGCCTTCAGGATGGATTGCACCTCAACAGAAAGAAAACAAAAATCCTTACAACTGGTCCAGTAAGCAACATCATGGTAAACGGAGTAAATGTTGAAGTTATCAAAGATTTCATTTTACTTGGATCCACAATCAACGCCCATGGAGCAGTCAGGAAATCAAAAGATGTATTGCATTGGGCAAATCTGCTGCAGAAACTTCTTTGAAGTGTTAAATAGCAAAGATGTCACTCTGAGGACTAAGGTGTGCCTGACCCAAGCCATGGTATTTTCCATTGCCTTATATGCATGCAAATACTGGACAATGAATAAGGAAGACCAAAGAAGAATTGATGCATTTAAATTAAGGTGTTGACAAAGAATATTGAATATACCATGGACTGCCAAAAGAACAAACAAATCTATCTTGGAAGATGTACAGCCAGAATGCTCCTTAGAAGCTTTGAAGGGAGGATGACAAGACTTCATCTCACATACTCTGGACATGTTATCAGGAGGGACCAGTCCCTGGAGAAGGACATCGTGCTTGGTAAAGTAGAGGGTCAGCGAAAAAGATCAAGTCCCTCAAGGAAATGGATTGACACAGTGGCTGCAACAATGAGTTCAAGCAATGGAGCAGGACCTGGCAGTGTTTCGTTCTGTTGTACATTGGGTTATTATGAGTCAGAACCAACTAGACAGCACCAAACAACAGCAGCCTCGAGGTATCTCATAGGATATTTTAGTTGTTAGGGAGCAAGAAAGGGAAAGCTTATTTCCCCTTCATTCCAAAGGCCAAACCTCCTATGACATTAGGTGACCCAGTCCTGGGGTCGAGCCCTGAGACTGTGCCGAAGGTTCCAGATTCTGTGTGGTGACAGACAGCGGAGCCCCAGGCCTACGTGCCAGGGCTCGTCTGCAATGAGCTATGGGGAAGGGCCCCGGGCCTAGGCAGACAGGAGCTGCAAATTCCTGGAAGGTTTTATTCTGGCCTAAGTCATGAACTGAGCATGATGGTAGCTTCACAGGAAGAACCGGGGAGTGAGTGACTTTCACGGCACCAGAACAGCGTCATTCCAAGCGTGGGCTGCTACATAATTGCTGTCATTGTGTGGACAACTGATGGAGAGGCTTTTTCACATGAGTGGGGCTGAGAAATGAAAGTCTGTGGCCCTGGCTCGTAACTGCTTGAGAACTCCCAGAGCATTCAACTTGTTGCTTGACAGATGCAAAGTATACTGAAGTTTAAGACATTTTTCACCGTTCACGTCTCCTACCTTCTCACCCAGCCAATCACGAGCACTTATTTTATTGAAAGGGTTTGTCTCAGAGCAGATTTATCTGATTTATCTTTTTAAAACAAGATTCTTCAATCTGCAATTAAAGAACAGTAATGTTTCACCAATACCTTAAAGCAGTGAATTCAGTTCCTTGCTATAGAACATCCAGCATGTCCTAGAGAGTTCAAGGCAGGTAACTGATTCACCCCGAAATCTTCAAAGGAAACTAATTCCAATTTTGAAACCAGGGTACTCTTTAGGAGGAAATTAGCTTTGTTAAATAGAAATACACAAGGACAAGCCATCCCAATCATACACATTTTAGATTCCTTCACTGTTCCTGAATCGGCATTCTGAAGTAAGTCACATTCAGCTGACAAGTGGTGGTTGGCAATCAGGAATGCTTTTAGCAGCAGGTGATAGAAAAACCAGCCTCAGTGCATTAATAAATAGTAATTTATTTTCTCATATAACAAGTACACCAGACATAGGTGATTGGGTGGCTCTACATTTCTCTAATGGTCCCAAGATGGCTGCTTTTGTTCCAGCCATCAAGTTTGTATTGAAGGCAACAAGGAGGAAGAAGAAGCTCTGTCATTTTATTCAGCATCCTTTTCTTTACATCTCATTGGTCACAACTGGGTTTGCTTTGACCAGTAAGTGACCAGGGGGAATAGAATGACAACTTTAGACCAATCATTATTCATCCTCTGGGCCAGGGGCTGAGATCAAGGGGTCTCCGCCTGCCGCCACAACATAATGGAGTTCTATTAGCAGGCAAGATGCAATGGAATATCAATTGGGTGCTTTCAGTTATGTACCTCCCCTAAAGTCATTTCAAATCAGAAAACATCCAAGATCCAACTATTTGGATGTGTGCTTCAACTGCAGGACACATACTGAACCCATAACTCTAGCCAGTGAGGCCCATGATGCTGCAGAACAACACTGGATGTGTCTTCAGTGAGTCTGGAAGCCCGACCAGGAGACTAAAGGGTCCAGGATGTCTTCATGTCTTCTTGAGTCTCAAGCTGTGACTTTGGAAGAGAAAAGAGACCTTGGGCACCCTATCTGGGAACTGTCTTCCTGGACAGTGTTAGGTCTTATCCTCTAGGCAGGAACAGCGAGCAGCCCTCCAATACTGTAAAGAACACTGGCAGGCAGGGGAACCGTGGACCAGTTGGGAAGGTTCAGAATGGAACTTTAAGGGAAGGGAAGAATAAATCCGGAGTACACCACAAACTTGAGCCCTTGGAGAAGAGTGGGGGGAGTGTTGTTGGGAGGTGAAAGCGGTGGAGAAGACACCCAAGTTCTAGGGGGAAATTCCAGGAAAGAGGGGGGCAGGGCATGGGTGACCTCAGTGGTCTAGACGTGGCTGCTGTCCAATTCAGCAGATTCCTTAAGGACCTCCTGTGTGTAGGCTCTGCTACTGAGCTGGAGACAAAATCGAAACCAAACGTGGCCGGCAGGCTTGAGGGGAGGCAGCCGGCGGACATGTCATCCTGGGACATCTTGGAGGGGGACCCCAGCCAGCCTAGGGGTGGTGGGGGGAAGGCTTCACAGAGGAACGTTAGCCAAGGCTTGATGATCAAACATTTATCAGGCAGGAAAGCAGAGGGCAGAGCAGGCGTGGTGGCACAGAGGCCTCCGAGAGCCGGCAGTGTCCGTGTGGAGGAGGCATAGGGTGAGCAGTCTGGCACCAGCCAAGTGAGCTTGAGATTTCAGCCAAAGCAGGGAAACCCCATCTCACAGGCATCTCTGGAGGCTGATGGAAGAGAACCTGATCTGAATATTGCAATGAAAGGGCTTACTTACTTTGAGGAAAAAGGTAAAAAAAAAAAAAGAATTAGAAAGAGTATACCTGTTTAGAAGGTGTTGGACGTAACCTAACTGTAAGATTTGTTGAAGTTTGTTGATTTTCTGATCACTTCTTACTGCAGCTATTAAAATGCATCTCAGCAATAACGTGACACCCCTTCATAATTTTTTTCTCCTCTAACAACTTGCAGTTCATAATAATTCATAACTTCTGACTGCAGAAATAATTCATAAATTACAAATCATTTCTGACAAAACTGACTATAAAATGTGTTCTCAAATAATAGCAAATGAACATATTTTTTAAACGGGGTAATACTTTAAGTTCCCAAATAAATGTATCTCTTCTTTCAAAATGGATGCTGTAAGTAACACCTCACTTTTCCCCGTTAAGTTTATGCGGCGCATACATGGGTTTTGATGAGGTAAGAATCGTGCTCAGGTTGTTGGAGGTCTTTTGCAACTGAAATTTGCTGTTTGAAGGAAGTGACACCCTGCACCGGTGGGAAAGAACCTGGGAAAGAGTGCAGAGGCCAGTGAGAGGAAGGACTTTGTGGAAAGAAGATGGTGATGTTTGAGGCTGGCTAAGGGCGGCTGTGTGCAGGAGAGGAAGGGCAGCTGAGGGACTGGTGGGCAGGGGTGTCTGCGTGGGGAAGATCAGCTGTCGGGGTAGTTTTAAGTCTCCTGAAATTAGAAAATGGATAGCTGGGGCAGGTGGCAGGTGTAAGTAGTGGTATCAAGTGACTGCTGGAAATAGATGTTAGATAATAAATAAGTAATCCATAAATATGCAGGATAATCACAAACTGTTTAAAGGACATGAACAGGGCCATGTGACCATAAGTGGAGGAGGGGTAGACAGGGAAGGCTTCTTGGAGGAGGTGACATTTAAGCTGATATCTGCAAGATAAAAGGGGCCAGCCAAGAGTGAGAGAAAGAGCATTCCTGGCAGAGGGAACAGCAAATGCAGAAGCTCCAAGGAAAGAAAAAGAGCTTGGGGTGTGCAAAGAAAAAGAGGCCGGTGTGGACCGAGCCAGATGGGGTAGGAGGACGGCATGAGATGAGGTGGAGAAGGAGGGAAAAGGACCAGCCTCCGCAGGGACGGGGGCACCTGTTAGTTTTTTCTCAAGTAGATTGGAAAGCAATTACAGAGTTCTGAGCAGAGAAATGGCATGATCCAGTAGCACGGCAGGGACCAACTCAGAGGCTGTAGCTCAGGTGGAGGATGGAGGTAGCAGTCATCCCTAGGGAGGACAGAGGCAGACAGAATCAGAAGGTATTTTGGAGGTAGAGTCCTGATGGAGGTCAGGGTAAGGGAAAACAAGGGCTCCATATTGTTTTTTGGATTTGGGACTTGTTTGGATGTGGGGTAGATGGCAAAGCCTGGGAGAAAATGAAGCCAGGCAGTGGGAATCAAGAATTCTGTTGACTTTCATTTAGACTTCCAGGTGGAGATGCCAGGAGACAGTTGGGCAGATGAATCAGGAGCTCAGGGAGAGGTGCGGAGTGGATGTGCAAACTGGGGGTCATTATCATGTATTTGATATTTATAGCTATAGACCTGGATGAGATCACCTAGGGAGAAACTGTAGGTTAAAAAAAGGAGAGAGAGAAGAGGGTCCAGTCTTTTAGAGATTGAACTGAGAAAGTATAAGAGGCAAAGAGGATGGAGAGAGAGAAGCTAGGAGTCCAGGAGAGTATGGCTTCTTGGAAGCCAAGAGAAGAAAGTGTTCATGAAGGAGGGCTGGTGGCCAACTTTCAGATGCTGCCAAGAAATTGAACCAGATGGAAGAGAACCATCCCTGGGTTTGTGTAGGTGGAGGTCACTGATGACCTTGGCAACTGCCTTGTTTTGGGGATTGATGAGTGGGGAAATTAGACTGGAGAAACCTGCCAAGTGAATGGGAGGCACAGAAGTGGAGTGTACCCGACTCTTTGAGAAGTTATGCTGTGAGAGAAGCCAAGCGATACAGCAGACATTGGAGGCGTTATACACTCTGGTTGCTTCTCTCAACTGTGCATCATGAACACTTTCTATGATAGGTACATACACATCTGCACGCCTATGTTTAGTGGGAGCACGGTAGCTTATTGTATGGACAGACTTCTCATTGTTCCCTTACCCAGACCCCATTTTATAATCATCTTGCTTGTTTCCAGTTCTTCACTTTTATAAACACTTTATATATGCATCCTTTTTATATTCCAGCAAATATTTCCCTAGGCTAAATTTCTAGACATGGAATCTGAAAAGAGAATAGGAAGGATAAGCATAACTTGGAATTTCCTCATCAGGCCATTCTCTAGGGCCCTTTCCTCGAAACAAAAATTGCTCCCTCAATTAGCTCATTTAATTCAACAGCAAAAGGGGATGTAGAAAACAAGTTACCTTGGTTCTTTTAGCTGTAAGCTACTAAAATAAAAATTTGGAAACAGTAGTGATGGTTGTACAACACGATGAGCATAGTTAGTGTCACTGAGTTGTGTACGTAAAAAATGTTGAAATGGCAAACCTTTTGTTACATATATTCCTACCACAATAAAAAGAAAATAGAAGACACTAAAAAAGGAAGAAAAAACAGCAGAAGTATTCAAACTAGAAGGCACTCAAGGCACATTCCAGTGGGTTCCCTTATTTCTCGCTTCCTCTGTCTCAGTTCTTTCCCACTCATTCATTCTCACTCTTCCTTTCGTTGCCTTCCCTGCCAGATGCTCTCTCTTTCTTTCTTTGTCTTTATGTCTAACTCCTGTGGATCCAACAATCCTTCAGTTACCCCATCAGTTCCTCTAGTTTGCCCTTTGTAAATATGTCTAAATAATTTTAGTGAATGATTAAACTGTAGACAGATTTATAAACATAGATCTACATTCAGCAATATGTATGAAAAGCTTGCTGTGGTCAAGGGACTCTTTTAGAGGAGCAAATAATAGAGAGGCAGAGACACTTTCCTTTTAGGTGGGAAACGAAGAGAAAAACCATTGAAAACGTTATGCAGCACAGAAAATGTCTATAGACCAGGAAACATCCATAACCAGTCTGCAAGTATGCCTCATCCTTGCCACCCTGGGCAGATTTAACTGCTGTTCACATCAGCTATGTTTTTAAAGAATAACTGGGTGTGTTTCACCTCTGCCACTGGTGGCTTTCCTCAACTAACTGTTCTTGGTTTGTATGCAGGTGGGAGTCTTTAGTCCTTGTCCTGATGTATCTTATTTACATTGTCATCATGAAGTAAGTAAAATACTTTCTTACTTTCTTTTCCAAAATGGTTTCCTACCTTCAACATTATGTGACGATGCAGAAAGAGGAGCAAGGGTGGGGGAGGAGGGTCTGATGGGTTTTTCACTGTGTGTCATCACAGGCTAACTTGACACCCTCGGCACCCTGTTATGAATCAGTGTAATTTGAGTGGTGCCAATAGCCACGACCTTTCCAGCCCATATGTGATGATACGGTCAAAGCTTAAATGTTTCCTTTGAGAAATCTCTAGAACTCTTGTCCCCTCTTCATGATCTGGCAACCTACCTTTTAGCTGGATTTCACTCTCTGTTCATAACAAGAAAGGAGGTAACATGCTTCTATACAGACTGAGGGACGATGGGGACAGAGCTAGTTGAGAGGTGACTAAAGGCACAGACCAAGTATCTGTGGACTTCCATTATATGTATTATATGACAAATAGCCCCAAAATTTAGTGGCTTAAAACCACAAATATGTATTATCTCACATTTTCTGAGAGTCAGGAATCCAGGAATGGCTTAGCTGGATGGTTCTAGCTCAGGGTCTCTCATGAGATGCAGTTAAGACATAGGCCAGGGCTGTAGTCATCCTCTTGACTAGAGTTGGAGGATCATTTCCAAGATGGTGCACTCACATGGCTGTCAAGATGGTGCTGGCTGTTGACTAGAGGGCTCAGTTCCTCACCGTGTGGACCTCTCCATAGGGCTGCTTGAGTGTCCTTCCAACATGGCAGCTGGCTTCCTCCAGAGCAATTTATCCAAGAAAGAAAGCAAGGAAGAACCCACAATGCCTTTATAATCTCTTCTCAGAAGTCACACGCCATCACTTCCACTATATTCTGTTTATTTGAAGCAAATCACTGAGCCCAGTCTACACTCAAGGGGAAGAGAATTGGGCTTCACCTTCTGAATTGAGGAGTTTCAAAGAATTTGTGGCTATATTTGAAAACCACCACATCATATGTTCTTTTTGCTCCTGGAGTCTGAACAGCTAATTATTTGTAGTAAGGACTATGTTGGTGATATTTCCCATACTCTAAAGTAAAATATAAGAACTGTTGCGGTGAACCTACCAGTTCATCTTTTTGCTAAATATCATTGCTGTGAGGAGTTGATAAATAATGCAGCTATTCAGTGGTGTGGCTGCCAGCCCCCATGAGAGCTGTTTCTTTTCCTCAATATTAACCCATATGTGTCCCCAGCATATGTCACTATAGGACTGACTGCCTTCTCTGGGGAGTAAGAAGTAGAAAGCATTAGAAATTGCCAGTTTAGACATATCAGGTAGTGGTCTGGAATTGACATATCAAGTTTGCCTTGATTAATTCTGGCCACCTATAACTGAGAGACCTGTGGAGAAATCTATGTGGCCATTGGCAAAAATCACATGAATGGTGAAGGTAGGAGCTGGCTTGGCTGATGTCCAGGGTGAGCTGTAAGCCATCTGCTGCCAGCCCATTCCATATGGTACCCAACATTGGCTGGAAGAGCTGTCTGCTGGTAAGTGTGCACCCTGTATCTGGGTCTTGTTACTGGAGGAGGACATTTCCATAATTGGACCTTATGCAAACATAGCCAGGTGCTTTTACAATCTAATCACTTTTCATTAAAAATTCCAATTCATGGGCTCCCAAGAAAACCAGAGTTTGCCCAGAGGCCTTCCAAAGTTTCTAGTCTTCAAAGGAAAAGTCTTTTAAATGGGTACAGCCATCCTCTTTGTCTCTAACAGTAAAAGCTATACAGTGAATCAGTGCCACGGTGGCAAGGCCTCAATACACACGTTTTCCTTCAGTGTTTTGGGTTGGACTATTTCAACTTCTATGACTTTTTTGACACTCAGAGTTTGTGTTCCCAAACAGCCAAGAGTCCTCCTCTTCTCTTTTGAAAAGGTGGACCAGTGAATTGTTTCAGAATTATTCATCGAGTGCCTGCTACATGCTCAACGTTGATCTTGGTCTTGAATTTGAATTTTGATGAAAGAGTGTTTCCTACTGACTTCTCACTTCTTCACAATTCCCTAAGGGCTTCGTTGAATAAGGAGGTCTCTCCAAAAACAGATTCAGTCTAAAGGAAAGGAGGGCTGAGAAATTTTGCTGGTATGATTCTGTGACCATCACACCCCTGTACCGAGCCTTGGTAAAACCCCTGAATTGTTGGCAAGACACGCAGGCATTAAGACAGCGCAGCACGTAATTCCTCTCCTCTGTCCCAAACCAAGCCCAGTGTGAAAGCTAATGAGGTGTGTTTCTGCTGATGCCTCAACTTACCCAAGTTCCAGCTGTTTGGACTGGCAGAATACAAATAAAATGGGGAATGGAAGCTACTGTACTCATGGAATTTTCTGCACAAATTCTGGTCCTAAGTTCTAAATTGAAATCACTGCTCTTGAGCCATCCCCCTCTGCAATCAGAGGCTTTAATCATTGGGTTTTATAAAATCTGATTTATAAAATTGCATGCTTTATAATAAAACAGCTTCAGGGCACAGACACACAATTTAAAACTCTCAATTAAAAATATAAAACAGCAGCAACAGTTAAAAACAGCATATGTCAGAATCGTTAGCTGGCTCCTGGGTAGATGGCTTCAGAATAACTTGAAGCATTCTGTCTGAAGGTCAAAAAACAAGATCAGTTTGGCCAGATAGGCAGAAACCTTAAGGGTTCATGAAGCATACATGGCCTTTGTGAGGGTTGGTTTCTGTACATCCTGGGTGCTTCTTTGGGATTTAGTCCCCAGTTAGGCCATATGGTCCGGTAATGAAGAACAAGTGCTTTCCATTCTGCCCTGTCTGCAGATCCCACTTGCCTCTTAACTAGCTGTGGGACCTTGGTCAAGTTATTCAGACATTTTAAACCTCAGTTTCCTCTCCTACAAAACAGGATTCATAGTAGGTCCTACCCCAAAGGGTTTTTGTGAGGATGGAACATGAAAGCATATTTAAGTTATCAATAATCCCAGCACCTGCTTTAGGAAAAGTGCTTTTCTACGGTATTGTTCTCCTGTTACCCAATCCCAATAAACGAATCACACGTTGTTGTTGTTAGCTGCCATTGAGTTGGCTCCCCGACTCCCGGTGACCCTGTGTGCAACCAAATGAAACACTGCCTGGTCCTGTGCCATCCCCATGATTAGTTGCAGATTGGACAGTTGTGATTCATAGAGTCTTCACTGGCTGATTTTCTAAAGTAGATTGCCAGGCCTTTCTTCTTAGTCTGTCTTAGTCTGGAAAGTCCACAGAAACCTGTTCAGTGTCACAGCAACATGCAAGCCTCCACTGACAGATGAGTGGTGGCTGCACATGAGGTGCATCGACCGGGAATCGAACCCAGGTCTCCCGCATGTGTATAACACATAGTTGTACCTTAACAGCTGACCCTCCTGCAAATCAACAGTTCTACAGGGAAAATGGGCTGTGAATCAAGATGACAGAGACTCTGCCTCTTCTCTACAGCTGTAGAAGGCAGGCCATTCCTGTTGCGTCTATAAAGTGGGCACTCCCAGCAACAGGCCACTGGCCGTGGCACCCAGGACCTAGGGACAGACATCTGGAAGAATTGGAGCCAGAGGGGGAGAACGAGGAAGGAGAAGGGAAGCCACAGGGTGAGAGGTTGAAAGTCTGAGAGACAGGACCTCCTGCTGACAAAAACGCAAGGAGCCTGTCTAGGGCCAGGCCAGCTTCTGTCACCCTTCCCCTTTTAGTTTTCTTTTTTTCTCATGACTTCCTTTTTGTAACTTTTTGTTTTGGAGAATTTTGAATACAGAAGTTGCCAGAATAGTGTAACAAACCCCATGTATCCATTTTCAGCCCCAACAACCATCAACCCACAGACAGTCTTGCCCCATCCATACGCTGGGTTTTATAAAATCTGATTTATAAAATCGAATGCCACCCATTTCCTTACCCCCATATGATGTTGAAGTCCTAGGCATAGTATTGGTTCCTCCGTAAAACTTCAGTATATGTCTGTAAAAGACAAGGACTCATTTCTAACGTAGCCAAAATATTATCATACCTAAAATCAATGCTAATTCCTTAATATTATTAGATGTCCAACAAATATTCAGATTTTCAATTGTCACATAAATGTCATTTTTTTATACTTTGTAGTCTCATAAGTGTCATAAATATTTTTATAGTTTTTTTTTTTTTTTCTTACATCAGGATCCAGATAAATCCCACGCACTTCAATCTCGGTTGCTGCATCTTTGGAGTCTCTTTTAATGTATAGATTCCTCTCTCTCTCTCTCTCTTTTTTTGCCTTGCAATTGATTGTTTGAAGAAACTAGGCTGGGCCGTTTGCTCCCCAGTCTGGAGTTGTTGATCACCACCCAGGGTGCAGGGCCACCTCTTCCTCTGCACTCTGTCCCCTGTACGTCAGTAACTGATTGTGTCAGGGTAGACCAGGTCCCAAGTGGTGGTGAGTCCTGCCATCAGGCAGCGCATGATGTCTGCGTGTCTCTCTTGTTGTGATGTTTGCAGCCATTGATGCTCCATATCTGGATCTATTATTTCATTCAGGTTGCAAAATCATGATGTTCTAACTCTACCCTCTCCGCTCATAAATCATGAGAGTCCTCCAGGGCTGGCTGGCCCACTTCCCTGTCACGGCCACCACCCATCCCTTGTGACTAGTTTCTCTTGCCCCTCGGGCAATGCAGGAAGACCCACAGGCCCCCAGGCAGTGGGGTAAGAAGCTTGTGGGAGAGAAGGCCAGCCAGAGGGGCCCTCCTTCTCTGCCATGATGGCTGTCGGGTTCCCATAGGCAGGTCCACCCCAGTGCTGTCCTGGCTGACAGGAGAACCAGGCACAGGATGTCTCTGGAAGGGACACCACAGAGCCTCAGCATCTTCAGCAGCAAAACAGATGAGGAAGAGGAAGGGATAAGGATGTTTGCAATTACCAGCTGGCAATTAGAGCCGCCATGCTGGCTGCCGTTCCTGTTGTAGGCTGGAGGTCACACTGGTGGGAACCATCAATGGGTTGCCCTGTGGCCAGTGAAGCCGTGGAGGCCTTTAGATCTTGGGAATGGTGGGAGAAGAAGCTGTGGCCTATAGTCTCCTGGAACTCTGCCCGGCTGTCTTTGCCCATGAGTTTTCTAGGACTGTTGTTGTCATTTGTTAGGTGTCATCGAGTCAGCTCCAACTCATAGCAGCCGTATGTATAACAACAAAACATTGCCCAATCCTGCGCCATCCTCACCATAGTAGGTCTGCTCGAGCTCATTGTTGCAGCCACTGTGTCAGTCCATCTCATTGAGGGTCTTCCTCTTTTTCACTGACCCTCTACTTTATCAAGCATGATGTCATTTTCCAAGGACTGGTCCCTCCTGATAACATGTCCAAAGTACATGAGACAAAGTGTCACCATCCTCAATTCTAAGGAGCACTCTGGCTGTACTTCTTCCAAGACAGGTTTGTTTGTTTTTCTGGGAGTCCGTGGTATATTTAATATTCTTTGCCAACATCATAATTCAAATTTGTCTATTCTTCTTTGGTCTTCCTTTTTCATTGTCCAGCTTTCCCATGCATATGAGGCGATTACTCTGGGATTTCAAGGATTACTCTGTGGATATCTTTTAATACCAAAGATAAAAGAACAAGAAGCTTACCAGCCAAAAACATCCTAAGAATTTCTTCTTCTTATATCCTAGGACTTTATTTTAAATTATAAATTATATTATAAAATACTATAAATTGCATTTATTATTTACTAGGAACTTATCCTAGTATAAACTTCTTCTTTTCCAACGCAAGTCAGCTGGGGCATGTTTTCACTCAGTCTTTCTGGGTATCATAGTTCAGATTTGTTTACTATAAAGACAAGAGACCTTCAGGCCTGGAATCATGGAACAACAGTAGCAGCAACCCACAGGCTCCCAACTTGTGACCTCAGGAAACCACAGACAGACGGAGACCCAGACATCCAGCCAACGTGTAACACGTAGACCATGAGGCACGGCCACTGGTTAGAGGCATGGAAGAATGCCTTCTCCTTCTCACAGGCAGCGGGCCCCTGACAGCAGAGGCCTTGGAGACAAGGCCCAGAGGAAGTATACCTGGGCCATCACACTGAGTCTTACCAAAGCCTTCCCATGTTCAGACTTTGAGTAAGGGACCTCAATCCCAAAGGTACCACCACTGACATTGAAGAAGTTGCAAAAAAAGCAGTATGTCATTACTTGTTTACATAATGTTGATTTTATTTTCACTTATTTTCAATGACCATCCTTAAACTGTTAAATGGGACAAGTTGTATATTCTGAGGGAAATGGGCTGACACAATAATAACAATAATAATAACTTGAGCCATGGAGCCCCATCTAGACTAAGAGTGCTTCAGGGAGCTCCCTGCAGGAGTTGGGAAATGGAAGAACATCATCCCCTGATGGACTCTTTCCACTTATTGCTTTGCTCAGGTATAATGCTTGCATACATCAGTGCTTCGAAAGGAGGACAAAAGGTGCTGGGAACATGGTCAACGGGTTGGCCAACAATGCTGAAATTGACGACAGCAGCAATTGCGACGCAACTGTGGTGCTACTAAAGAAAGGTAACCAAGGAGACACCTGTGTCCAAGGATGAAGTGCTAGAATGTGAGCCCATCTGCTCACTCTCACAGCCACGCTCGGGGCATGGCAGCTGACCTCAGAGGATGCCGCCTGCCCTGAGCGGGAACTAGGAGAGGGAAGGTTCTAGTCTTCCACCCTCCATTTGGCTACATCATGAGGCAGTCTCATACATGATGATGAGCCGACTCAGAAAGCCCCATGAAAATTCTTGGGCAGTGCATTTGCTGAGGATGATACAGAGAAATAAGGACAGGATGGTAAAGGGGAGGATACCATGGGCTTTGAGGTATTGGTTCTGCCACATTTGGCTGTGTGGCCATGAAGCGAGTTACTTATAGCCTCTCTGAGCCTCAGTTTTCTCTTCTGCAAAACGGGGATAATTTTACCTACTTCATAGAATCATTGTAATGATTAAAGGAGATAATGTGTGTAAAAGAGTTTATTTAGCACAATATTCAACTAATGATAATTATTATAACAGTATTATTATATACAAATTCACTTTCAGACTACATTACCTCAGTTTCTGATCTGCAAAATGAGATAGAAAATTATCTTTTTTTCCAAAGCACTTCTTTATTCAATAGATTCTCATAAAGCAGTTGATTTATTAATGGGGATAATATAGTGCTTTCTAATAAATAATATTCTTTCTTAGAGGAATATAGAAAATTATCATTTAAATTTGCCTGGAACATGTTCCAGTTTTCATTTAATTTTTTTAAAATTTCCTCCTTGAAATGTGTAGATTTATTTCTTCTTGGATCTACATGGTTTCTTTATAGGAAAAAAATAATAATAAATTAAAAAATATATAGCTATTTTCATTTTTTTTTTCACTTTGAAATTTCTGGGTAATTACTCAACATAGAAAATCAAATATTTGATGTATTTTTCTTAATAATTATGTACATGTTTAACAAAAGACTGAAGAGATTTAGTGCCATTTCACATGAGGATTTCATTTAGTTTATTCCCTTCTGGGTAGCTTATAACCATAAAAGGAATATGCTTAGGGAACCAGAAAGAGCTTCCTCATATTAGTATTCAGTGTTTCCGGAGATTATTTCACGGTTTAATGGTTTAGAACACAGGAGCCAGTACTAGGAAAGGCTGTAGCAGCTGCCAGGGTACAATGTGCAAATACTGCTCGTTCACAGAAAGGGGGCTTGGGCCTTTGTGAAACATTCTTTCAGGTCACCCAGCGAATTGCTACATAGGGTTTAACCCAAGTCTTCCGGACCACAGGTCTCTAATGTGGATGGCTCACTTACCCACACCTTGTCAGCCCTACCTGGTGGGCTGGGAGAATGGGTACACTTCCCGCCAAGTCCTCCACATGGCACTAAAATCAGCTTAGTGTAAATACTGCTGACATAGAAGCGTTAAAGGGTTACTAAAGGTTAATGGGATGGGAGGGTCTTTTCTGTGCCCCAGATCTGCATGGTGGGAAAAGAATCCCTTGAGGACAGTGAGGAATTCTCTTATGTTATCATCTGCTCTTACCATGTCAGTAAATGATGCTTAACTTGTTTCAAGTGATTTCAAAAGGGCTATCAATGAACCCAGTGGAAAGGAGATTTTTTACTCTTCTCCAAATTTTGCTCACTACAACTCTCCCTGAATGGATAGATGGATGGATGGGTGGATGGGTGGGTTGGTGGGTGGACTGCCGGATGGATGAGTTGGTGGGTGGACTGCCAGATGGGAGGATGGGAGGGACGGATGAAGAAAGGGAAGGAAAGTGAATGAATGCCTTTTCCCTGCTCCCGGCCTCCATGTTGTTTTATTTCATTTCATGTCTTTCATTCCCAGCCAATTTCCACCGCAAAGCGTCAGTGATCATGGTGGATGAGCTGCTGTCAGCATACCCACACCAGCTCTCTTTCTCTGAGGCTGGCCTTCGAATCATGATCACAAGCCACTTTCCACCCAAGACCCGGCTCTCCATGGCCAGCCGCATGTTGATCAACGAGGTACCTGGGGGAAGCACAGCCCATTTGTCACTGGACAGGGCTGGGGGCAGGAGGAAGGAGATGGAGCCCCGCGAAGGGCAGAAAGTTTCCTGGTTTGGAAGCAAAAGCATCTAACTCAGAGTTTCACACAATAATATGCTCGGCCATTTCCCAACCTCTTTGCTCACTGGGCCAGCTTCATATCCTGGTCCTTGATGTTCCGTCTACATTCTAAGAGATACAGTCTAGCTCCCAGTTGTACAGAAAAACTCTCCTGTCCCCCTTTTATGTACCTTTTCCTTTTCATCTTCCATTTGAATAAAACCCCCTGATGTAGACTTGCCCGTATTCCTTTCTCTGGAGTGGCAGCTTTATTGATACACTAGTCCAAACACTTTTGTGTGGTTTTCTCACATATATACCAGGGATTCCTATAATCTAGAGAAGAAAGATACCACTACAGTGTACAGGGAATCAAGAACCCCAATGGAAAACAAGTGTACATCCCAGACATTTTCCTCTAAAGGGATTTTCAGGGTCCAGTGGGTTATAAAAGGTTAATCCTTCCTTCTGTAAGCAGGTTGTCTAAATTGGTTATTACTTTGAGGAATCCCTTAAAACTTGACTCCAGAGTATTCTGGAAGCATTTCCTCGTTAGCTGCCTGGGAAAGATCCTAAGATCTCGTGTTCTGTATTTAAAGTCTTTGAGATCCCTTTGACCAAGGTAAGAGCACGCCTTTCTCTTTCCAGAGACAAAGACTGATAAACAGCAGGACTTATGCCAATGGAGAGTCTGAGGTGGCCATCAAAATCCCCATCAAGCACACTGTGGAGAATGGGACAGGGCCCAGTAGTGCCCAAGACAGGAGTGTGAACGGGACCCGCAGGGACGATGTCATAGCCGAGGCTGGACATGAGTCAGAGAATGAGAACGAGGACAATGAGAACAACGAGAATGATGAGGAGGAAGAGGAAGATGAGGATGATGACGAAGGGCCATACACACCATTCGACCCCCCCTGTAAGAGGTCCTACGTCTGGGCTGAGGTTGGGAGCTCTTTTGAAGCTACTGCATGGGTGCACTTGACTTTGATGTTTTTTTGTCATTCAATACAAAGAAATATCTATATGAGCATAAAGATATTTGTATTGAGCTTCTATAGTGGGCAGGACTTTGTTGCAGAGGGTCCAAAGATGACCAAAATGGTGGCAGATGGTCATTGGTTGAAATTTGGGATCTTTGACTAAATGTATAATGTGTTGGCTTTCTGTGGAAGAAGGTCCTCTCTTAGCTGTTCTGTGGGATTTTTTGGTGCTAAGAAGGAAGCTCTGTCAGCAAGGCAGTTTGCTCAAGGGTGAGGAGGTTCTTCCCCATGCACCCATTCCATTTCAGTTGGCCCTGGGAACTGTCCTCGTAAGACCAGCCCCGGGGGAAGCCTGTAGCTGTCCCAGCTGGCATTTGTTCTCCTTCTCACTTCCTGCCTCTTGCCCCCATTCAAGCCTCTCCTTCTCCTGTGACCTCCTGTCCCCAGAATGGGCACCATAGGAGATGAGAACTTGGGCAAAAAATATCACAGTTAAAAACCAGTTCCCCTCAAGTTGACTCCAATTCATGGTGACCCCACGTGTGTCAGAGTAGAACTGTGCTTCACAGGGTTTTCAATGACTGATTTTTGGAAATAGATCACCAGGACTTTCTTCTGAGGTGCCTGTCGGTGGACTCAAACTTCCAACCTTCAGTTAGCAGCTGAACATGTTAACCGTTTGTACCACCCAGGAACAGAGCTGGCTGAGTGAAGTCTCCCTGGTACCTTGAAGGGGGAGAACATGATGACTGTTAAACTTCCAGGACACCAACCACCAGTGTGGTTTCCTTCCCCCCTGACTGCTGCACTTGGCCATCTCAGCAGCCTTGTCACCCACCCCACTCCTTAGCAGAATGTGTGGACCAAATCCAAAGAATTCTGCTATTTGCTAGACCCTGCAGAGGCTTCTGGCTATTTCAGGGAAGAGCAGACTGGTCTAAATCACATCCACCATCAAGTGTGTGAGATTTGACTAAGCATACACAACCTCTCTGGGATGTTTGAATTTACAAGGGGACTATCTGAGGAAGGGCTGTTTAATCCACATGGAAGACTGTTGGATGGTGGCATTTAGGTGTGGAGGGTCTGGGCCTGGGTTCTTTTGGATGCAAGGTCTCTCTGTGTTCTGCAGAGCTCCTCTGCCTGTCCAGGTGGTAGCAAGTAAAACTCAGACCAGAACTGCTCGTCTGCCCCTCAAGGCTCTTAAGAGCTCTTCAACATCTGCCAAGTACTTCCCAAAACAAATGAGAAAATATCCACACAGATTCCTTTACCCCAAACTCCAGAACCCCCCAGCCAGACTTAAATCATTCCTTGTAAATATGTTATCTTGATGGAAAAAAGTGTACTGTCTCTTTATCCATTCTGCCACCCTTGAATATAGTTCTTGGCCGTGTTCTTCCCTATCAACCAAAACAAAAATATTTTGAGTGTTGAATGACCAGACATTCCATTGTTCCTTTGTAAACCTTGTAATAGTTTCCTAATGCTGTGTAACAAGTTATGACAACAGCTCGCAGTTGTTCAGGTCAGAGGTCTGGCATGCTGTAGCTGGATGCCCAGAGTCTACAAGGCTGAAATCAAGATATCAGCAGGCCTGTGTTCCTTTCTGGAGGCCCTGGGAAAGAATCCAGTTCCAGGTTGGTTCAGGTCCTTGGCAGAATTCAGTTCCTTGCGGTTGTAGGACTGAGATCCCCGTTTCCTTGCTGGTTGTCAGCCAGGGGCTGCTCACTCCTCCTAGAGGTCACCCACATTCCTTGCCACGTGACCTCCTGCATCTTCAAACCAGCAATGGCGTGTCAAGTCCTTCCCACACTTCTATTTTCTCTGGATTTCCCTTCTGCCATCTTTCTCTGACTTCTTCTGCTTTTAAGGGCTCATGTGGTTAGAACAGGCCTGCTTGGATAATCTCCCTATCTTAAGTTCAGCTCTGTCATATAACACACTCATGGGAGTGATATCTCATCATATTCACAGGTTCCAAGAATTGGAGCATGGAATCTTGGGAAGGGGGTTAGAATTCTGCCTCCCACGATTCTTGTTTGTAGAGCCCCTGTTGACAGGCATAGCCAAGTTCCAGAAATGCTTGTTTTGCTGAAGGTCTTTCACTGATTTCAGAAACAGGCTGCTGGAAGACTTTGTAAGCCGCTATATAATGTGTTAACATCACGGAAGCCCAGAATCCCCAAGGGCATCCCTTTAGGTAGACAGTGTAAAGATACCTGTGTGAGATGACATAAATAGTCTGGATCTCATATCTGAGCCTCATTACTTAGTGGGACTAAGGGTTCCCTTTGGATCGCTTGTTCCATTTTTCTGTCCTAGATAAGATAAATCTCAGACATAACTATGGGTTTTCAAGGTATCTTGAAACGTCTGCTCTCCACCCCTGTGTCTCTGTGATTAGGCTGCTCGATAATGGAGACCCAGGGGCATCCAGTCACATCTTATTGGCTCCTCGGTACATTAGAAGACACAGCTGCAGGTGTCCTACCCCTCCGTTTAATCCTGCACTTGGGGCTCGGGGGCCCCACATCAGGCACTCTGCCTCCTTCCTGAAGCATAGGTACAAGAGGAGAAATGATGTCCTCCATCCTTTGGGGCCCCAAGCTTCCAGACAGGAAGTAGAATCCCAAGTTCTTCTATATAGCCCTCTCAAACGTGAATATGCATGCAGATCACCTGGGCGTCCTGATTCAGAAAGTCTGGGGTAGGGCTAGAGACTCATTCCGAACAAGCCCCCAGGTGACACTGATGCTGCTGGTCCATGGGCCACACTTGGAGTAGTGAGGGACTGGAGAACTACAATGTAAACATGGCCTGGGGGCGTCTGACCTCTTGGTCTAACTTCACAGCTGGGGAGAAGAATCAAGATCAGCAACATCAGTCCAAGGCTGATTCCTGGGTTTGAAGGATTGGGACCATAGTCTTGTGGGACAACTCTGTCAGTTGGCACAATATAGTTCATAAAGTTTATGTTCTACATCCTAGTTTGGTGAACAGTATCTGGCATTGTCAAGTTCAAGTAGTAGCGTCAGAACCTGTCTAACTTCAAGGGGGATGATGAGAATCAAGATCAGTCCAACACTGATTCTTCTGAGGTGGAAGTCAGACATATCTCCTCTCTCCAGCTCTTTTATGGATTCTGACGCCAGCCGTCCCTTCCACAGCACTCTCTACTTCTCTGCTGGGTTTGATGATTCATTGCAATGGCCACACAGAACTCAGAGGCTATACTCACAGTTATGAGGTTTGTTAGGAAAGTAACTAGTTACAACTTGGGATCAGGATCAATAGGCTACAAACTCAGGATCAGGATCAGGAAGCAAGTAGGCAGTCTCCCTTCAGTGCAGGATAGCTCTCTCAGCTCCTCTCGGCCATGCAGGGCTCATCTCGGCCCCCTCAGGACAGACTCCTCTGGACTCCCTCAGGACAAGCTTCTCTCGGCCCTCTGCCCTTGGCCCCTCTCAGGCCTGACCTCTGCCCTGCTTGAGCAAGTGTTACAAAGCTCTTTAGCTCCACCAACAGGTGCCCGGGGGTACTCCACTCTACCAGGAGGCCTCCTTCCTGAAGGCTCTCAGCTCTCTCTTGCTCCACAGGTCAGCATGCCCACTGTAGCCTTGCTCCATGGACTGGGAAGACACCGCACCATCTCATGCTGGTCTCCTGGTTCTGCGGCTGCTGTTTCTCTGCCGCTACTTCTCACCATCTTTCACTGTCTCTGGTGTTACAGTTCTCTGTCTCCTGGGTCTAGGAGGTTCTCAGCACAGGGACCCCAGTTCAAAGGACACATTCCATTCCCGGCGCTTGTTTCTTTATGGTAGTGAGGTCCGCATTTTCACTTCTGGGATTGACTCCCTTTAAGCCTAGCAGGAGGGCAAAACTGACCAATCCTCTTGTTAGGGTTCCATATACCTTATTTGCGGGTTCCACCCCTGTAAGCGTCCCATGCACCTTATTTACATTATTAGCAGGCCGTCCAATCCCCTTGGTGGGCCACAGGCACCTTATTCGCATATTCCCACCCAGTCATTTTGTGAGAGTCACAAGGGCTATGGCTAGAAGGGTCATATTAAGTAATTGACTGTACTGCACACAGGGATCTTAGGAGCTTAATTTGGAGTCAAGTTCAGCCTCTGAAGAGGAGAATGGGCTTGTCCACTTATGACCCGCTCTTCACCTCCACCAGCCACTAAGAGACTGTACTCCTGGGCTCAGGAGCACCCATTTCAAGGCAGGCAGGCCATGTTTCAGGGGTCAGCAGGCCAGAGTGCCCCACTCAGGCCAGCAGAGGGCACTGAAGCTGGGGGGATTCAGTCCTAGGAGCCCTGCATTGGGATCCTCTGAGCTAAGTTGCTTTGGCTTGAAAAGATCAACAGATATCTTTCCCTCATAGTAATCCTTTAAGGGTGCAAGCTCTCTATTTCTGTCACCCATCTGCAGGGCTTTCTTCTCTCCAGGACTACTTGGCTGTAGTGAGTATAATTAGCACATAAATAATTATATACCAAAAAGAAACTAAACCCGTTGCCATTGAGTTGATTTTGACTCATAGCGACCCTATAGGACAGAGTAGAACTGCCCCATAGGGTTTCCAATGAGCGTATGAAAAAATTTTGTACATATATATATATATATATATATATATATATATATGAGATAACCAGTAACCATCAAGTCAACTCCAATTTATGTGTGTCAAAGTTGAACTGTGCTCCATAGGGTTTCCAATGACTGATTGCCAGGCCTTTCTTCTGAGGTGCCTCTGGGTGGACTTGAACCTACAACCTTTGGTTAGCAGCTGAGCATGTTAACTATTTATGCATATTACATGTATATAACCTATAAATATATGCACATATAAATACAGGTATGTTAGTATCTATGTATATGTTATATATGTATACAACACGTGTATACAACATATACATAAACA